GCCAATACCACAGCAGTCAACATCTGTTGTCTGTGCTAGGAGACCACAGTAGTAATTACACACAGGTTAAGTGGCTTAAAAAACTTGATCGGTTTTGAAAATTGGGTGTGGAAGATAGAAAGGAACCTGAGAATTTTTATAATATTTTTGTGATATAATAGACTGTAGCCAAAAGAGTTACTTTATAATGAGTATTTTTAGCTTCAGTCCCACATTCTCTTCAGAAATTAGCTATTACAATCCTTTTCATTACTCTAACAGAGTCTGATGACTCCTATTCTAGAGGGAAACACCCCTCCCAACTCCCTTATTAAGAGATTGGGACCTAGTGTGATAACAGCACCCTGATCGATGAGCAAGATTCTTGTAGATTAAGGAAAAGAATTGCTGACAACTTAGGCAGACTTTTATATACCTATTTGTTTTCCTTCCTAATTCCTCTTAAAATGAAAATGCCGAGATTTTCTTTTGATATATGTTACATTTGTGAAAGAAGATAACAATGCAGTTAATGGGAAGAACATGACCCCTGGATTCAGATATCCAATAGTTACAAATCTCAGCTTCAGCATCTAGCAGTTATGTGAAATTTCTTCTCTGCACCTCAGTCTCCTCATGATAACTACTTTGCAGAGTTGCTGTGAATATTAGTGTAAACAATGGACATTCAAATATAGCTATTATTATTATTATCATCATCAATTATTCTGACCTATAGAAATACTTCCTTGGAAGTATACATTTCTGGAGAGTGAGCAGGGATGGGGTATTATACTTTATTTTTTCGGTTTCTCTTCGTTCATTCAGTGGGTTGTGGGTATGTGTTTGTGTGTGTGTGTTTCACATATTGTGTGCTAGGCACTATTTCAGGCACTTGGAACTTACATTATTGTAGGGGTACAACTGGAAACTGATAAATGCTGTAAAAAAATTAAACAAGCTAAGAGGGATAGGATGTTGGGAGTGAGTTGCAATTATTAATAGGGAAGTTAGAGTGGGCCTTATTGTGAATATGACACTGGTTTTGTGTTCTTAGAGGTTTTCCTGAACTATCTTTTGGAACGAGAGGATGGGAAGAAGGGTGATGAGAGGTAAGAGTAAGAGCTTGCTGATTTGTAGGCAAGCATGAATATTCCCTTTGGTGTAAGGTGTCAAAACACAAACTGATATAGAAGAGTAAAATTTTCTAGGTGGTCTAGTTTTATTTTACTCCATTTGAGCAAAAATCTTCCTTAAGTATTTTGTACACACCTGCCTTCCCAAACAATGGCTACTGAATACAGTGGCCCACCTTGTCTGTGACTGCTGGAGGAAGTCATCACCATGACTCAATTTGTTATGGGACTTTCATGAAGCAAGTCCCTCAGGGCCAAAAGAGATGCTGTCATCTATTTGTCCTATGCAATGGCCTGAGCCTGCAGTCATTGTGAGTTCTACCCACATGTGGCTATTTAAATGTACATACAAATTAATTGAAATTAAATGACATTAAAAATTCAGATTCTTAGTCACTGTAGTCACATTTCAAGTGGTCAATAGCCACATGTGGCTAATGGCTACTGTGTTAGCACAGATATCAAACATTTCTATCACTGCAGAAAGTTCTTTCAGTGTTAGTTATTTTATATGTTTCTGACTCCAACATTGTTTTTTGTGGTTCTGTTGTCAGTTTTCAGACCTTATTTCCTCTTTTTGATTTGTTATTTCTCATAGCTGATAGGTTTAAATGCCAGATGTAGGATTTTGTGTAAAGTAAGGGTAACCATGCTCTAAGAGACCAGAAGCACTTTCTTGTGTTCAAATTTTTGTACTTGGAATTTTTATTTCTATTCTGAGTGCCCCAAGGCCTCTTTTGCTTGGTTATTGTTCTGCAGCTGTACTGTAGGTGTAAGGGAATCAGACTGCTGGGTTCCTATGGGAGAAGGGCTATCAAACTTTTAAAGGTAAAATTGAACATTCATAGAAATGCTTTAGATCCAGTCATCAGTCTCTTATTTAGAGCAGCACAACTCAAGAGGTGCTTAACGACCAACTGGCTACATGTACTCCAGGCACTGGGTTAGTCCGTTGACACACAAACAAAAATGAACATGGACCCAAATTGAGGAAATTACAGTTTAAGGGGTAGAGAGAGTTTCATTAATTCAGTTCCCAGATATGTCCCAGGTACCCTGAAAATCCAGAGGAGGGCAGTACCTGATCCAGGCTTCCCTGATGTTACAGGAGACAAGAGGCCAGGGAATGCTCCCTAAAGAAGTGATTCTTGAATGGAATCTTGAGGGATACATAGGCACTGGTCACCTGATGAAGGTGGGAAAAGGAGGTCAACAAAATATGATGTACTACAGCATGAACACAGACACTGAAGAGTGAAATGGCATGGCGTGAGAGTGGGAACTTTCAAGTTTATTATTGATAAAGTCTAAAATAGAAGGGAGTAGGCCAGGCATGGTGGCTCACACCTGTAATCCTAGCACTTTGGGAGGTCGAGGTGGGCAGATCACCTGAAATCAGGAGTTCAAGACCAGCCTGGCCAACATAGTGAAACCCCATTTCTACTAAAAATACAAAAAATAGCTGGGTATGGTGGCGGGCACCTGTAATCCCAGCTACTCAGGAGTCTGAGACCAGAGAATCGTTTGAACCTGGGAGGTGGAGGTTGCAATGAGCCAAGATTGCACCACTGCATGCCAGCCTGGATGACAGAGCAAGGCTCTGTTTCAATAAATAAAATAAAATAGCATAAAATAAATAAAATAAAATAGAAAGGAGTCACAAAAAATAAAAGTAAAATAGATGGCAGCCAGTGTTACAGGTAGGCAGACTTTGGATGTGAAAATGATGGGTTTTCAGCAGAGGTGGAAATGGGGAAGAGGAATCGGTGATGGTGCCAGGGGCAGATCTGACTCTTCAGTAGTTTGACTTGTTCACTCTGGCAGCTCTGTGAAGTTAAAAGGGAGCCAGGCTGAAGGCTGGGACACCAGTGGTATGGGAGGGCCAGAGAGTAGAGACCTGTTACGGTTCAAAAGAGAGGTAATGAGGGCCTGCTGTGAGAGTGTAAGGGGGTTGAACAGAGTTCATGATTTCAATTGGTATTGATTTCTAAGGAGCAAAATTATCAGTATTGGGGGATTGATTAGATGTGGGGGATAAAGGAGACAGAGGAATCAGAGATGACTGTGAGTTTTCAGCAAAACAGATTAATTTAAACTCTTTTTCCAAGTTCACAGTGATAGGTTTTGACCTATAGCTGCTGCTAGTGATTTGCATTGGCAACTGTGGTGTCTAGGTTAGGTTTTGGCACTTTAGGACTCCACGCTCTTGTTTGTTTAAAAAAAAAAAAAAAAAAAAACTTGAATGGAAGCATAGACCATAATGAAGTACCACCCTCATATGACTTTAATTTCACAGTGGCCTATGAAAATTTATAGAAATTTGGCTTCATTTCTATTGGCTCCAATCCAGATGCCAAAATTACCCCATTGTTGCTCATCCCTTGAGTGGACCATCGAACCTGTTATTCATTAGGAACAGCTGAAAACCATCAGCCAAGTTCCCATACTATGCCAACAATAACACCAGTCAAATTTCAAGGTAACTCCAGGTTTCAGAAATGTATGAATCTCAAAATCTGTCTAGCCAAACTCTTATTTGTATTTTTATGCATGCATATTATATGAAAAAGCTAGTGGTTTCCTTACTTTCCATAATTATACATTGCTTCTTTTAGACTATAAATTGAGTTCTCAGTGTTGGTGAAGACATACCTATAGATCTGTAGCCAATCACTTTAAAGTGAAAATAGAAATTCAGTCTGGATCATGGTACCAGGGGAGTAGCCAGCCCAAAGGGCCCATTATGATGAGGCCTATATTGAAAGCAAAAATTCTTGCATACCTGTAGTGCATTTTAAAAGGATTTTCCAAGTAACAGTTAACATTTGTTAAGCTTTCAGAAAAACTTAGTTCTCTAGCTTTTAATATTAAGGAAATATGGAAATATATGTTGATACTTTGTTTTTTACTGACATACTTCATGATTGCGTGGCTAAAGTCACAAAACATTAGGCGCCTACCACTACTTTCTTTTAGATATATTTAGCCACTGCCTCTGGCCTTTGTTGCCAAGTATTTTTTCCTTGTTACTCTAACTACTCCATCAATTTGGATCTTCAATGGTCTGGCACATTTTGAATGATTTCTTGGAAGATGTGAAACCCTGTTCCCTAATCAGGAAGATGTGGGCAAGTGTTATGGTATAAGAAACGAAGGGACATCTTTTCTAACCAAGACAACAGGATTATAGCGCCATTACACAACATCTTCAAAATTTTTATTTGAAAAATAATGATGTGTTTGGTGATGAACAAGTACCGTAAATTGGGAGGCATGGGAAGTTTCCACTCTTCAAGCATGTTTTTATACAAAGGAGGAGGGAAAGCTTACTTTTTGTGGTTCTTGAGAGAGGTTACATTAACCATTTGTTAAAAGTTTGATTTATGAAGAACATTGGCTTCTAAGAGTATTCTTCACACACTGGCATCCTTTGTGTGATGTTGTTGTAGGTTGTTTAGCAACATATCAAAATAGTTTTATAAAAAGATTAATATGTGTTTCATTAATCCTAAGGAGAGCTTTCTGAAATGCATTTTTAAAAATAAATGACTAGCATCATTCTGTGAAATGTGTGACTTCTCAGGGTGGGAAAGAATTAAAAAAGAAGCTATCGTTTCAAGCAGTTTGTGATTTAATACCAGTTGGTCTAGTGAGTTGAAAAACCATACGATTTGTATGTTGTATTATTTTAAATGCATTTTCACTCTCTTGGGAAGTTGGCTAACCCCACAATCTCTTTCCCATGCTAAATGGCTCTAAAACTTTGATCTTCTCATACCAGTTTGCCAGATGTAGCAGAAAGAGCATGTGTGTGACCTTTCATGTGCCAATTGAGCCTGGCTGATGGGAAACTGTAAGTTAATCTTGCATGACTTTTATTTCTAGGCATTACAGCAGAAGTTCTGGTGGTGACTTCTTTTGATGAACTGCAGAGAAGGGCCTCAGAAGCAAGAGGGAAGATTGTTGTTTATAACCAACCTTACATCAACTACTCGAGGACGGTGCAATACCGAACGCAGGGAGCGGTGGAAGCTGCCAAGGTCGGGGCTGTGGCATCTCTCATTCGATCCGTGGCCTCCCTCTCCATCTACAGGTTTGTCATAATGATCATTTGAACTCCTTTCAAAAACAAGGGTTTTCCTTGAAGGAAAAGTCCTTATGAAATAAAAACAAACCATTCAAATGAAAATACTTATTGTTCATGGAGTTTCTCCCCACCCCCCGATCCCCACCACCCATTCCACATTTGGTCATTTGTTTGTAATGTCTTCTTGGGCTTTTCTGGATTCCAAGCATCATTTGTGCATTCCTTTAAAAAGCTTTAAAGCTTTCCACATCCACAGTGATCCCATTACATTCCTTATATAACTAATATATTATGTATTTTCATTGGAGGAAGAACTGAGTTCATGTCTGCATTTCATCAGAGATTCCTAATGACTTCAGAGGGAGCCAGGCTGTTTTCCATGTTGCTAGAGAAGTAGAGTAAAAAGAGAGTGGGTGACATGATGGGGGCCATCTATGGTATAGTGAAGAGTTAGGGAATTAGAGTACCTTGGATACAGACTTGGCTCTGCTCCTGAACAACTATGTGGTCTGAGGAATGTTTCTTAAACTTCTCTAGGCCTCATAATTTTCTTCTATTAATCAGGGATAAAGAATAATAATAAATGTACAAAATAATTTTGAGATTAAATGAGGTCAACTTGAAAAAGATACTTAACTATCTGTAAATGATTATCTATAAAGGTCCATATAAATATTTGGTAATATTGTTTGAGCGTAACATAGGAGTTATCTTTTTCTTTGTAGTCTTGATTGAGGTAATGCCAAAGAACTTCATTGGCCCTTAGTCCTAAGATGAAATTCAGTATTATTCGAGTGGACAAAAAGTCTAAAAACTGAGATGTAGATGTTCAACCTAGTTTAATAGCTGTTATGGCAGTGTCAAACGTTAAGGATAAAATATTTGGGAAACGTGGGGAAAAGAAGCATAACTTAAGTGTTATAGCCTGGTCTAAGATTTTTTTAAAATGCAAAAATAATAGCAGATGGGGTTTATTTGGATCTCAAGATTGGATTCTGAAATCTATTGGAAAGGGAAGTTTACTTATTCTGCACAATTGCTGTTTGGAACTGGAGACACAGCTGCTTGACCTTAATTAGCACCCTACACCCCTGAAAATAAAAATAACTGGGGAACATATGTCAGCAGCTAGGAAATCCTGTCATAGGGTAGTTGTACGAAAGTGCAGAGAAAAGGAAAGAGACATTTTCCTTATACAAGGGTAAGATATCTTCCCAGGGGAGGAGGATGGGGCATGTTAAAACTACTTGTTAGAAGTTATATGACTAGTTATACTGATGTCATAGTGCTAAAAATAATGTTCTTTGCGGGGTCTTCGAGGTTTCAAGACCAGTGAAATAATGATTGGACCATATTCTTTTGGATGATTAAACTTCCCAGGAGGGAAGTCCTAAAATGGCTAGCTTACTTCCCATAATACCTCCATCACCCCTTGGAATAACATACTCAGCAAGCTGTGGCCATTCACCGTGATTTCACTGGTCATGAGACTTAAATTATGGAGCTGGTCTGTTGCTTTGTGAAACTGGGTGATGGCCAGAAACCTTTATTTAAGAACTGCTACTCATAAGACTAATAAATTCCCAAATGACTTAATGCCCAGTCATTTGCCAGGATTCATTGGCATTTGTTTTGTTTTGTTTTGTTTTTTTCCTGGCATAATGAAGACATCTGGAAACCCAAGCTACAAATTAGGAGTACCAGAAGAATTGTCCAGCAAGGGACTTCAGAATCTGTTGCTAGCCTCTAAGACTGATTATAATGTTTTTTATAGCCAATCCATATTTCACTGGACTCTTAACTTGTGTAACTCTATTCTTTCAACATTTATAAATACATAACAACATTGGACTTTACATAGTACTTTAGATTCTTTCACATGTTACTTTATTTGCTCCGACAACAATTCAGTGGCTCATGTAGTCATTATTGCCCTATTTTATTGATAGGGAAAATAAAAGTTCAGACAATTAGACATATTAACATATTTAAGTCTTGCATCCTGAGAAATAAAAACTAAAATAAAGCGAGATAAACTATGTTTGTCTACTTCTAGCTTATCGTTTTCAGAACTAAGTTTTTTTTATGAGTATTCTATATTCCTACCTCTGATTCCTCATCTTTCATTCATTCTTCAGACTATTATAGCCAGGCTTTTGCCAATACTGAAACAGGACTTGTTCAGGTCACACATAGCTGCCGACTTGTCAAATTTAATGGACATTTTTCAGGTCATCATCTTACTTCGCTTTTCTGAAGCACTCGCCTCCATCAACTCCGTTTTCAGTATTTCTTCTCTTTGGCTTCCGTGACTTCTTTCTCATGTTTTCTCTCTCTTTCTTGTTTGCTGTCACTCTCACGCTTACACCTTTTCACTCTCTTCTCTATTCCTTCCCTATATCTCTGACTTCTCACTGTGACTGTTTGACCTGAGTATCCTCATCATGCTCCTATGAATGTGGTTCATGCTTGTGAAGATGTGACTTCAACCACAATCGACATTGTGGCCTTTTCCAAACCCCGCTCTCCCATCCACACCACTGCTGTGAGCTCTAGGCCTATATATTCACCTGCCTGTGGATTCTTCTTTGGGATGTTCCATAGCTATTCCAGTTTCAATTTTTTTTTTCAAAATTGACCTCATTATTCATCTTCTAAGTCAAAGGTCCTTTATTGCTTTTTCCTCTTCCCGTGTCCGTCATTTCTAATAGTTACTGAGTCTCTTAGGTTCTGCTCTTTATCAATCATTTCAACAGTTACACATGGAGCAGCTCCATTTCCCAGAGCGACTCCATATTCCAGCAGTCAGGAATCGCTAACACTTTTCCCATGCACCACATTTCCTCAAAGTTTTGTGACTTTGCATATGCTTTATCCTCTGCAACCCTCCATTTTCCTTCTCACTGCCACATACTTACGAGTTTTTTCCTCTGGGGAGCCCTCCCTGATATCTACTTGCAGCTCGGGCGAGTTACCTCTTATTTGGTATTTCCACATACATCATCCTTTGCATGCTCTGCATCATAATGTCTTGGAAGTATTAATAGTTGTGGTTCGTGCTTTGGTAGACTAACTGTTGTAACAAATAGCTTCAAATCTCAGTCACGTCACACAATAGGAGTCTCTTGCATGTTCACATAATAGTTTCAAGGGGGTGGTCAGAATGTGGCCTTCTGCTCCTTTCCATCTGTGGCTCTGTCATTTTTGAGATCCGAGTTCTCTGCAGAGTCTTCTGCATTCATCTGGCACATAAAGGGATAGAGAGAGAAAGTCGATAACCTCGAGGGAGATTTTCCATGGTTATCCATATCTAGGCCTGGATATGGCACACTTCACTTCTGCTGACATTTTACTGGGCAGAATGCTATTACATGGAGGCTAGGAAGTTTGGCCTATCTTTATGTCCAGGGTGAAAGGAAAGTGAATTTGGTGAAATACTGCCCAATTGCCTGTCTCCACATTAGACTCTTAAATTCCAGAAAGACATTGGTTACTTGTATTTTTTAACCTCTGGGTTCCTATCATCTAATATAATGTTTGATACATGGTAATAACTTAGGAAATGTCTACTAAAGGAATGAACTTGTCTGAGGATGTAGAGCAAATCATGGCAGGGCTCTCACAACAAACCAGCTGACCCAGTTCCTGGTGCTCTTTGTCCAAACTATGTAACCTATGTGTAGTAAGTTTAAAACAACTTGAACTTTTAGGGTACTTTGCTCTGTATTTGGAGGAAAATATTCAGATGCCCGATATGCCAGATTATATATTTTCTTCTGCCACAACACTTATGAACAAAGATGTTTTGAGTTGTTGATTAAGGAAAATAGCTCCCTTCTCTCTGAAAAGCATTTCACCTCTATGGGAGTGGGTGATACTGGATTTCATCTAAAAATATTATAGAAGTCAGCAACACTAGAGAACATAATATATATATATATATATATGAGACTATATATATTTTATATATATATGTGTGTGTGTGTATATATATATATATATATAAAAAAATTTGTTGCTGCTTGGATTCAAAATTTGAGAATCCCCTGGAGGGTAGTTTGATGTGACCAGTTTGATTGGACACTTTTTGGTGCAATCATCAATATCATCAGCCGTTGTGGATCTGCAGCAGTCAAATGGTTACATGATAGATGTCCTGAAAAAATGTCCATTGCTTGTTGTCAGCATCGTCTCCAGGTTCATTATTGTTGCCGTTATTAGTGTTCTTGGGCTCAACTTTACTTTTAGGAGATCTTCCCTTTATTAATGCTTTTCTAATGACACTCCTTTCCATCACCATTATCAACTAAGATGCCCCCCATTAGAGCTTTTTTAGGTTTTCTGACAGTAAAATACCTTTCTTTGCTTTTGTCATGGGAAATATATTTTAAGAATAAATGCAATTAATTAGATATTTAAGTCCCACAGAGGAAGGCTTCTCTATGGAATTATTTGTCTTACATTATTTCTCAAATTTATCTTATTGTTTACTACATATTTCTTGAGAGCTTCCCAGTTGCTCAGAAATTTCCAAATACTAGGATTACTAAGGTGAATTCCATATATTTTTTGTCCTCAAGAAATATTTTTATGTAGCCAAAAGAGAAGGGGGTAAGAACATATAAGCGATTAGTATTATTTATTTTATATTTAGTGCTAAGGGAATGATTGGGGGAAAGGGATAAAGAAAGGAAATTACTATTTATTAAGCACTGACTTTGTACTATTCTAAAGGGTTAAAGAGTTTGTCTCAATTAATTCTTTATGTAACCCAATAGAAGTAGATACCTGTATTGGTATCTCTTTTACTGAAGGAGAGACAGGTTCAGAATGATTAATGGCTTATCATGCTACACATCTATTGAAAGAACCAGGATTCAAACTCAGAGTCTCTGGCTCTAACTTCCATGCTGTTAGATTGTACCAAGCAACCTGGAGAGCTAATGCTATAGGAATCTAGAGGAGATAACAGAAGTCTGATTGGGGTTGGTTGCACTGACAATGTG